TCCACAGCTTTCTGATCAATCTTGCGCTGCTCTGAAATCTCGTATTTCTCCTTCTCTGTGTCGAAGATCTCACCTTCCTGGTGTCTGGGCTTCCGCAGTTTCTTTTTCTTGACGTTAGCATCGGTAAGGTGCTTTGGGATCTTTACTTTGCTAATACCAATTTTCGTGGAGGAGGCAATGACAAATTTCTGATGTGTTTTACGCAGTGGAACTCGATTGAGAACCAGCGGTCCAGTTACAAGGAGCAAGCCACTTCTCGGCTGCTTCAGAAAAACCACTCTCTATCCTCTGTGGCGTCCAGTGAGGACGATTGGAATGGTCCCAGGAGTGACGCTGGCTTGCAGCTTTCTCACATGCTCACTGGAGGGTTTTTTGCCGTGGTTTAGTAGCTTTCTAGGCACATCTTCAGTAGGATAATACCTAGGCATTTTGCGCAGTTTAACCACCCGGGTACCACCATTTTTGTCCCCACCAACTGGTTCTGTGATAGTCGCAAGAAACTTCTCCTTCTTTTTCTTTTCGATCCTGGATTTAGTGGCTGAGAATTTCCTCCTGTACACGGCCTTCCTGGAAGACATGGCAGACGGGAGTATCTGCTGATGTCCCGGACTAGGACGGGGTTTCGGCTGCAATGGGGCTTCCCCTTCTTGGGCTTTTTAGCCTTGGGGTCACCCTTTTTAACCTCGCCACTGGCATCAGCCTTCTTGGCTTCAGGTTTCTTCTCCTTAGTGTCCTGCTTTGCAGCTTTATCTCCTGCCATCTTGTATAGTGGGAAAGAGAGTGAGATTGCTTTTTTTGAGAGAGAGATTTTTGCTATAGGATGTGTGAGTTCGCCAAAGAGAGAAAGCAAGAAATACCTCCCAGGAAGAACGGCCATGCCACAATCCCTTCTCTTCCATTCTCCCCTCGGGATTTTGGGTACACAGGCACACACGCCCAGGTCCTGGACTCAAACCATGGTTGGCCATATGGGAGTCCAGCGACGTAACCATTACGCCATCTGCTGGTCCCAGTCTTTTAAAAAAATAATTATTTATTCAATGTCCTCAGCCACCTTGTTTTTCACTGCCCCCATGTGCGTCGGAACCTCCCTCCTGTCTTACTGATCTTACCACCGCCCCCTTTTTATTTTTGCTTTATCCCTTTGCTAACCTAAAACCTTTGGAGATCTCGGGGCCGGCAGGTGGTGTGGTGGTTAAGGACACCGGACTCCCACATAGCCAACCATGGTTCAAATCCTGGACCTGGTAGCTTGCTTTCTCATTGTCTTTCTTTCTCTCTCTCTATCTTGCTCTGTCCCTCTCTGGTCAAATTAAAATAAATAAATAAATTTAAAAAACAAAACCAAAACTCTTAGAGATCACATGCTTGGAATAAAATCCAAAGTTCCTGCCACAATCCACATGGCCCTCCATAAACTGCCTCCTCCTTGACCTTATCTTACTACCCTCCAGCCCTCCTATACTCCTCCTTCCCTGCTTGCTTGCTTGCTTGCTTGCTTTCTTTCTTTCTTTCTTTCTTTCTTTTAGGTTTTTGCCATAGAGTACGTGCGCTCACTGGAGAGAGACAGAGAGGGAAAGTGAGAAATCTGCCCTTCTCCCTCACCAGGGGCAACGACCACACCGAACTCTCTTCTCCATTCTCCTCTTGTGATTTTGGGCACACACACACACACGCACCTGGTGTGATTTTCAAGCCACTGGGTCTGGGACTTGAACTGCAGTGTCGGCCATATGGGAGTCCAGCGCCTTAACTACAATGTCACTTGCTGACCCATCTTTCCTCTTTCTTTTTTTAGCTTTAGAGAGATTATTTGCTATAGGGCACATGCAGTCTCCAGAGAGACAGAGAAAGACAGTGAGAGGGAAAATGAGAAATCACCTGCCCTGGGGAGGGGGGGAGAGCAGGGAGGCCACCCTGCAATCCCTTCTTCCCTCAGGATTTTGGCATGCATGCACTTGCCCCCAGCGTGAGTTTTAAGCCGTGATGTCTGGGATTTGAACCGCAGTCAGCCATGCAGGAGTCCAACACCTTAACCACTATGCCACCTGCTGCTCCCTCTTCCCTCTTTTTTAAGGGCCTTCTTGGGTGTGCCTTCTGTCAGAAGTACTTTCTGCTTCCTTTCCCCAGCCCTTCCCATGATGGCTTACCCCCTCCCCCTCAGGTTCAGGTATTCGCTTGAACAGTTGGACCACAGACCACATCGTTCTAAGTAGGATCCCCCCATTCCCTGTGTGCTTCCTCATAAAGTTTTAAGTAACAGTCACTATTTTACTTGTTTATGCTCCACCACGTAGACAGTAACTTTTGCCAAGCTTATCACTTTCAACAGAGCATGCCTGGTGACTGGCGAGAAGTACACAGTCAACCAAATGCATCAAGTACCAGTGACATACCAGCTTTTTGGTTCAGGCCTCAATATCTTTTTTTTTTTTTTTTGAGAGGTTTTCGCTATAGGGCGCGTGCGCTCTCCAGACAGACAGAGAGAGACAGAGAGACAGAACGCGAGAAATCACCCCCTAGGGGGGATGGTCACGCCGCAATCCCTTCTCCTCCATTCTTCTCTCAGGATCTTGGGCATGCATGCACATGCGCCCGGCGTGAGTTTTAAGCCACCGGGTCCAGGACGCAAACCGGGGTCGACTACGTGGGAGTCCAGCGACATAGCCATTATGCTAAGTGCTGGTTCCCAGGCCTCAATATCTGGAAGAAGAGTAGTCGTTTAAGTGTAAAGCTTAGAGTTTTAAAATATCTATCTGTAGATTTAACCATCAATCTAGATCAATTCTCATAATACACAGGGAGGGTTTTTTGTGCTTTTTTTTAAAGAGCTTTTTGCTATAGGACCTGTGTGCTTGCCAAAGAGACAGAGATGGAAAGTGAGAAATCACCCTCCAGGGGGATGGCCATGCTGCAATCCTTCTCGGGATTTTGGGCATGCACACACACATGCCCAGTGTGAGTTTTAGGCCGCCAGGTCTGGGATTTGAACCATGGTTGATTCCATGGGAATCCAGTGAGGTAACCATTACTCCATCAGCTGGCCCCATGACTTACTAACCTACTTGTTTGGGAATTTTTAAATGTGAACTTGTATTTGGAGAGGGGATTGAGGCGTGTCCATCCTCCCTCCAGGATGATTTCTCGCTTTCTGTCTCTGTCTCTCTGGCAAGCGCATGTGCCCAACAGCAAAAATCTCTCTAAAAAAATTAAACAATAGTAAGTCAGGATGAGTGAGAGTCAGGAGAAGCCGCTCACAGGAAATTTCAATCCCAGTTGTTTCACATAGTGGGATATTAAATAGAGGCTAGAAAATGGCTGTGTTTGGAACCAGCAGTTAGCGTAATGGCTATGTCGCTGAACTCCCATGTAGTCGAACACAGTTCGAGTCCTGGACCCGGTGGCTTAAACTCATGCCAGACACGTGTGTCTGAATGCCCAAGATCCCAAGAGGAGAATGGAGGAGAAGGGATTGTGGTGTGGCCATCCCCCCAGGGGGGTGATTTCTTGCTTTCTGTCTCTCTGTCTCTGTCTCTCTCTGTCTGACAAGCGCATGCGCCCTATAGCAAAAATCTCTCCAAAAAAAAAGAAAAAAGAAAAAAAGAAAATGGCTGTGTTTGAAATGTTAAAGTAAGAAAACGTGGATGTAAGAAAAGATGGCCGGGCCAGCAGGTGGCATAGTGGTGAAGGCACGGGATCCCACAGAGCTGTGAGGTTTGACACCACGGCTTGACAAACACTTCAGGTGTGTGTGTGTGTGTGTGTGTGCGTGTGTGTGTGCGTGTGTGCCCAAACTCCCGAGAGGAGAATGGAGAAGGGATTGTGGTGTGACCATCTCTCCTGGGTGGAAGGGCGGGAGGATGGTTTTCCACGTTCCCTCTCCCTCTCTGTCTCTCTGGAGAGTACCAGGTCCCATGCCACAGAATGTTATTCGTCTTTCCTCTCAAAAAAAAAAAAAAAAAAAAAAAAAAAATGTAGGAAAAAGAATGTAGGAAGCCAGGTTCCACGTGGCTGACCATGTTGTTTGAACCTTGGCCCCTGCGGCTTAAAAAACATGATAGGGTGCATATCCTGTATACCCAAAATCCCTCCAGGAGGGAGAAATGTAGAAGGTGTTGCAGCATGACCACACCGCACTGGGGGGCGGAGGGATGTTCTCTCTCTCTCTCTCTCTGTCTCTCTGCTGAAAGCACACATCCTGTGGGAAGAAAAGAAAATTTTTGTTAATTTTTTTAGGGCATGTACGCTTACCAGAGACGCAGAAGGAAAGAGAGAGGGGTAAAGCACCACCTCTTAATGGAGCGTGGTCATGGCGCAATCCCTCCTCCTCCATTTTCCATCCTCTGGAGATTTGGGGCACTCACACATGTACACCTGGGACGGTTTTCAAGCCTCTGGGGCTGGGATGCAAGCCACGCGGTCCACGTGGGATCCAGCTCCCTCACCCACTAGGCCGCCGGGCTGTCCCAGCACTGAGTGTGCTGTGCTGATCCTCTGTGGTTCCAGAACGCCTGAACTACTGTGAAGGTGGTCGTTCCCACCGCCCGGCTGTTTCCCAGTACCACCCCGGGCCACTCTCAGAACCAGACGCTCCAGCAGGCTGTCTGATCAGAACCCCGGCCTGGTGTCCAGAGTCACCGAGCTGTGCCTCGCCGACCCCTCAACCGGTGCGCCTGTGATCTGTGACTCCTTCTCTCTGTCCTCTGCAGTAGGCGGCAGCGAGCCCTTCCGTTCTTACTGGGAGATGTACCTGCCCCGAGGACTGCTGCTCGTCTTCGTGGTGGATTCCGCAGATCACGACCGACTGCCTGAAGCCAAGAAATACCTTCATCAGTTGATCGAAGCAAACCCCATCCTTCCCCTGGTTGTGTTTGCAAACAAGCAGGTAAAAATCTGTGGAACCGGAAGTAACACTCAGTAGCTTTATTGTCAATGCAAGAAATAGAAAGATCTTTTATTTATTTTTTTTGAGAGGTTTTTGCTATAGGTGCATGCACTCGCCAGAAAGACAGACAGAAACAGAGAGATAGAAAGCGAGAAATCACCTTCCAGGGAGGATGGCCATGCCGCATTCCCTTCTCCTCCATTCTCCTCTCGGGATCTTGGGCACGCACGCACACACGCCTGGTGTGATTTTCGAGCTGCTAGGTGGGACTTGAACTACAGCTGGCCATGTGGGATCCAGCTGCCTTAGCCTCCATGCCACCTGCTGGTCCTGAAATATTTACTTTTAACAGCTAGATATTCAATTGGATTTGTATTTATTTGTATTTATTGCGTCTCCTGGATTATAACTCTCCAAGAGTAGAGACTATTATTCAGCTCACGTCCCTTGTAACATATAAAATTCTAATATACTGTCCCTTGTAACTATAATATACTGCCTTGCACGGAGTAGGAATTGAAGAAATGTGTGTTGAATTTACTTCAATAAACCTACATTGATTGTTGAATTGAATTCAACAAAATATCTGAGTGCCTACCATGTATAAATAAATATTCTGTTTTAAATGAATGTGACTGGCTGACTGGGATTTATTTCATACATACATTGCAATGATTAAACAGGAGAATCAGCCAATGGCATAATGATTACGCCACTGGACTCCCATGTAGTCAACTGTGGTTCAAGTCCTAGACCCAGAGGCTTAAAACTCACACTGGACACATGTCTGTGAATGCCCAAAATCTGGAGAGGAGAATGGAGGAGAAGGGATTGCAGCATGGCCATCCCTGTGGGGGTGATTTCTCCACTTTCTGTCTTTCTGTCTGTCTCTCTGGCAAGTGTTCATGCTCTATTGCAAAAATCTCTCTTAAAAAGAAAAACTTACTGGACAGGGCCAGCCACGTGGAACAGTGATTAAGGTGGCTGGATCCTACATGGCCAACTGTGCAGCACGTAATAGAGGCAGTGGCTTGAAAAACATGCCGGGTTCATATGCTTGCATGCCCAAATCTGGGAGGAGCATGGAGGAAGGACTGCAGGGTGATCACCCACGCCCGGGGTCTTTCTCACATTCTCTGTCTCTGGTGAGCACACGCGTCCTAAAGCCAATGGAAAAAAAAAAAAACCTTTTTAAAAATGATTAAACATACTGGATTGGCTCTGTGGCAAAACAATAAGAAACTGTATTTCGCATGGTGACCTCTATTCAGATCCCTGGCTTGGTCAGCCTGAAACACCCGGGCATGGGTGCCGGTGCCCAGGATCTGACGGGCGGAGGCCTGGAGGGAGGGCACTGCCACGTGACAGACCCCGGGAGGGTGCTCATCTCGCTCTGTTGCTCGTACCTGTGTATACGCATGTGCTATCAGGAATAAATAAAATAATTATTCCAGAAGAAATAAACGTTCATAGAGAACTTGGAACCCTGCACACTCCGTGCCGGTGCTGGAAAAGGATACTTACTCTGTCTAAATGTGTCTTTTCCTTCATGGTTTGTATCTGATATCTTCACCGAACTGAAGAAACAGCCATTTGCTATCCGATTTAGAATGTTTCCTAGAGCTGAATGATGAAAGGTTTGGATGTTCTAGTGTTTTGTTTTGTTTTGTTTTGTTTAAAGAGATTTTTGCTACAGGGTGTGTGTGCTCCCTGGAAAGACAGAGAGAGACAGAGAGACAGAAAGCCAGAAACCACCCTCCAGGGGGGATGGTCACACTGCAATCCCTACTCCTCCCTTCTTCTTTCGGGATCTTGGGCACACATGCACATGCGCCCAGCGTGAGTTTAAGCCACCAGGTCCGGGACTTGAACCGCAGTTGACTACATGGGAGTCCAGCAACACAGCCATTACGCTAACTGCTGGCCCCTGGATATTCTAGTTTAAGATGAGTGTATCTTTGTATGTTCCTTGACTTAAATATTTAGGCTATGCTTTGCTTTTCTTCTTCTTATAAGTTTATTTATGTATCCTGTGAGTGAGAGGGACAGAGCAACGGCACCCTGATAGCACCCTGATGCTTCGATGCAGCCTGGCCTCAGCCAACCTGGATCACGGGCCATGCGTGCCCCATGTTCAGGAGGGTCTCTCAGGTTTGGATCCACCTCCCAGAGCACTGCATTGTACTGTGGGGCCACCGTCCATCCTCCTATCCTATGCTTCTAAATGACTCACTGCTCGGGTCCAGCAGGGGCATGGCAGTGAAGGCGCAGGACTCTCACATAGACAACTGTGGTCTGAGTCCTGGCCCTAGCGGCTTGCTTTCTCTACCTTCCCTCTCTCTTCCTCTCTGTCTCTCCAGTGAGCACATGTGCCCTATAGCAAATCGAAAAATACTACTACTAATAAATAAAATAAAATAATTCTTGGGACCAGCAGATGGTGTGATGGTTGCATTGCTAGATTCCCATGTGGCTGACTGCAGTTCAAATCCTGGACCTGGCAGCTTGAAACTCACGCCAGGCACATGTGTGTCCAAAATCCCAAGAGGAGAATGGAAAAAAAGGGGATTGTGGCATGGCCATCCTCCCAGGGGTGATTTCTCACTTTCTGTCTCTCTGTCTTTCTCTGTCTCTAAGGCAAGCACACACGCAAAAATCTCTTTACATAAATAAATAAATAAATCTTTAACCAAAAAAGTAAAAATAAATGACTCACTGCTTCAGATAACTATAGAGTTTTCAAAGTCTCCTCCTCTCTTCACTCGGGTTATAACCTCTATTAAGGTAGGATTATGCACATGTGAACTAAACCCCATACTATACCCGATCAGCTCTAGCACTCTTACCAGGACCTTTCCCTCCGGGCCTGTCTCTCCCCTCTTGGCCTCCTCTCGTCACCCCTTTCCTAACTTCCTTTCCTCCTCGTTTCCTATCTGTCTTCCTCTACACCCCAAAATCAGATCTAAATTTTTTTGTTCAATAGAAATAGCAAACATAAAAAGTGCTATAATCAGTATGGACAAAAAAATGTAATAAGTTAACTTTTTTTTTTTTTATTTGAGAGAGAGAGATTTTTGTTATAGGGCACATGTGTGCTCACCAGAGAGACAGAGTGAGAAATCATCCCCCAGTGGGGGTGGCCACACTGCATCTCCTTCTCCTTCATTCTCTTCTTGGGATTTTGGGCATGCACACACACGTGCCCTGCATGTTTTAAGCTGCCAGGTCCAGGACTCAAACCATGGTCAGACCATGTGGGAGTCCAGTAACGTAACCATTATGCCATCTGCTGGTTTCAAGTTTCCTCTTTTAAGCAAATAGGCTTATTTATGAGGTTATTTGTTACAGTAGTTACAGATTACATTAGTTGTAGAAGTTATAAGCACCAGTTAACCCTTAAGGAAAGAATGTAGTAACGTAAGATACAGGGTTAAAAAATTGTTTCTTGGGCCAGCAGATAGCATAGTGATTATGTTGCTGGACTCCTAAATGGTTGCCTGGGTTCTAGTCCCAGACCTAGTGGCTTGAAAATCACACTGGGCGTGTATGCATGTGTGCCCAAGATCCGAAGAGAATGGAGGGGAAGGGATTGTGGCGTGGCCATCCCCCTGGGGAGTGATTTCTCACTTTCCCTCTCACTGTGTCTGTCTCTCTGGTGAGCTCATATGCCCTAAGGCAAAAACCTGAAAAAAAAATTTTTTTTCACAATTATAGTATGTTAGCTTAGCTTCATTCTAGAAAATACTTTTTTTCTTGGGACCAGCAGTTGGTATAATGGCTATGTCGCTGGACTCCCACATAGTTGACCGCGGTTCGCGTCCCGGACCCGGTGGCTTAAACTCACGCCGGGGGCGTGTGCATGCGTGCCCAAGATCCTGAGAGGAGAAAGGAGAAGAAGGGATTGTGGCGTGGCCATCCCCCCTGGTGGATGATTTCTCGCTTTCTGTCTCTCTGTCTCTCTCTGTCTGTCTGGCGATCACACGCACTCTATAGCAAAAACCTCTCAAAAAAAATTACTTTTTTCTTAATATGCCAGAGTGGGTGTGTGCTCACCAGGGAGAGATAGAGAGACAGTTGAGAAAGCCCTCACCCTGGGAGATGGTCACGTTGCAGTCTCTTCTCCATTTCTCCCTCCTTTGGAGATTTTGGGCATGCCCAGACGAGCCAGGTATGTTTTTCACACTGCGGGGTCCAGGACTTGAACCGGGCTGCCAGTCATGTGGGATCCAGCCACCTTAACCACCACACACCAGCTGACCCCAGATTTTTTGCCTTAAAGCACATGCATGCACCAGAGAGACAGAGAGACAGAGAACGACAGAAAGCAAGAAATCACCCCCTAGTAGGGATGGCCATGCCACAATCCCTCCTCCACTCTCTTCCTGGGATTTTGGGCATGCACATACATGAGACTAGCATGAGTTTAAGTCACTGGATCCAGGACTCGAACAGCAGTGGACTATGTGGGAGTCCAGCAACGTAACCATTATGCCATCTGCTGGTCCCAGAAAATGCGCTTTTTTTAAAAAAACTTATTTAATTCTGTTTGTTATTATTATTTTAATCTGACTAGAAACAGAGAGAGAGCGAGAGAAAGTGAGAAAGCAAGCCACCAGGTCCAGGACCTGAATCACAGTCGGCCATATGGGAGTCCGGCACCGTAACCACCATGCCACCAGTCGGCCCTGAAAATGCTTTGATTATTCATAAATGCTGGAATAATGTTGATAAAAACATATTCAAACAACCAGAGGGGTCACAGGAATGGGGTCATCTGTCCTAAACGGCGGAGTCACTGAGGACCGTCAACAGGAGTGAGAAGGTGTCTATCTGAATGGCAAGCTAACCCCTTTTTCCTGTCCTTTCTCTGTTCTGGATGCAGGATCTGGAAGCAGCCTATCACATCACAGATATCCACGAAGCGCTGGCACTATCCGAGGTGGGGAATGACAGGAAGATGTTCTTGTTTGGGACCCAAGTGACAGAGACTGGCTCGGAGATTCCGTCCATCATGCAAGACGCCAAAGATCTGATCGCCCAGCTGGCGGCAGAGGCGCAGTGACGGGCGAGGCCACCGCGGCTCCGGGTCTGACTGCCACCAGGCCGGCTTGCAGCCACAGGTTTCCACTTGCAGTAAAAAGGAAGCCATTTCCTACTTCTCAATGCATAGCATATGCACAGAGTCACGCCTGTTCCTCCGGAGCGTCTCCGTGGGCCAACTGGTGGCACAGTGGTTAAGGCGCTGGAGCCCACATGGCCGATGCGTGGTCTCGGACTCGGCATCTTGAAAGGCACGCCAGGCATCTGTGCGTGTGTGCATGTGTGTATGTATGTGTGTGTGTGCATGCAAGATTCCAAAGGAGAGTGGAGGAGAGGGTATTGCATCATGGCAGTCCCTCCTGTGGGAGAGGGTGCTTTCTCACTTTCTTTCTTTCTGTCTCCTCTCCAGTGAGAGCACATGGCCTATAGCAAAAAATATAAAAGAAAAAAGAAAAGGAAAACAGAAAAACACCCTGGGCTCATGCATGGCCCCAAATCATGAAAGGAGCAACAGACGGAGGAAGGGTGCGGCATGGCCATCCTCTATTGGGGGGGGGGGTCTCACTTTCCCTCTCTCTCTCTCTCTCTGTCTCTCTCCACTCAGAGGGGTCTCTAATGGCTATGGTGCTCAGCCACGATAGGTTGGCATGCTGTCAGAGAGGCTGCCTGGCTGGTAGTCTTCCCAGCAGCTGTTGTGGGGTGGTATTCTCCAGGTATAAGCCTGGAGAACTTAACACAATCTAGGTATATGGTGCCAGGTGGTGGCAAAACGCTTAACACCATGGGCCTACGTGGGAAAGGTTGTGAGTTCTTATCCTGGGAGCTCTCTGAGGATGTCAGGGGATCGAATGCCCATAGTAAGGGCCAGCTGAGACTGGGTGGATCACGGCATGACGACCTCGTTGGGGGTGCCTGTCTCTCCTCCGTCTCTTTCATGAAAGAAAGAAATAAATAAACTTGAAAAAAAATAACTGTAGGATTATAGGGTTAGTTAATGTGATAAGAGTGGTTCCACCTTCTCATTTATTTATTCAGTAAACATACTGAGCACAAGGGAGTTCTTCAAAAAATTCATGTAAAATGTGAAAATCATGCACAAATATCAAGATGTTTTTGCACCAAAATAAACTTGTACTTTAATTTTTTTCTTTCTTTCTTTCTTTTTAATTTTTTTTCCTTTTTTCCAGTTTTTGCTATAGGGTGTGTGCACTTGCTGGAGAAAAGAAGAGAGAGAGAGAGAGGAAAAAAAAAAAACCCTCCAGGGAGATGGCCATGCCACAATCCCTTCTCCTCAATTCTCCTGTTGGGATTTTGGGCACACATCATAAGTACCCAGTGTATTTTTCAAGCCACCGGGTCCAGGACTCAAATCACGCAGCTGGCCACATGGGATGCAGCCCCCTTAATCATCATGCCACTGGCTGGCCCTTTAATTCCATTTTTCCATGAGCGTCTTGAAGTACTTTCGTTAAGTGCTAGAAAATGTGCCAAAATACTTCCAGTTAAAAATGATGGAAATCCAACTCGGGAACCAGCAGTTAGTGTAATGGCTATGTCGCTGGACTCCCACGTAGTCGACTGCGGTTCACATCCCGGACCCGGTGGCTTAAAACTCATGCCGGGCGCGTGTGCATGCGTGCCCAAGATCCCGAGAGGAGAATGGAGGAGAAGGGATTGCGGCGTGACCATTCCTCCTGGGGGATGATTTCTCACTTTCTGTCTCTATGTCTCTGTCTGTCTGGTGAGTGCACGCGCCCTATAGCAAACAAACCTCTCAAAAAAAAAAAAAGATAGAAATCCAACTCAAGTTTTTATGTGCCTAAAAAGGGGGGTTTCCTCCCTCATACTGAGAATTCTGGATATAAGATTCAGGAGAGTGAAGATGTGTCCCCATCTGCATACCCCTGCCTGGCTTCCTCTGACTCCCTCCTCCAGGTAGCGAGGTGGCTGCTGTCTTCACCAAGCCTGTAACACTCCCACACAGGACAACATGGGCCCTCTCTCTGCGAGCACCCAGACAGCACATCTCACGGATGGTGCCGATTGGCTCTACTGGGGTCACATGTTCATCCCTGAACCAATCCCTGTGGCCCGACTGGCCAGACCTGGGGTGGGGACAGGAGAAGCCTGTTTAGACAATATGGAATGATTTTTAAAAAATGTTTTAAATAATTATTTTATTTAACTTTATTTATTTATTTTAGTTTGACCAGAGAGGGACAGAGTATGGGGGGGGGGAGGGGAGAGAGAGAGAGAGAGAGAGAAAGAGAAAGGGAGAAAGCAAGCCACCAGGTCCAGGACTGGAACTGTAGTCGGCCATGTGGGAGTCTAGTGCCCTTAACCACCACACCACCTGCCAATCCCCAGTGTGGAATGATTTTTGCCTACAGAAAAGGAGTGTCAGGTACGCTTTCAGAGAAGAGGGAAGGGGTGTGAAAACAAGAAAACAGAAATGATGACAGTCACCCATAGTCGCTCACTGTGCTTGGCACTGGAATATACTAGCCACCAGGACAGAGAATGTCCCCGTCCGTAAGGAGCTTACTCTAGCTGGGGAGACGCATGCTCAAATCAGCACGAGAAATCTTTACAGCCTTTTGGCCAGGACCGCCATCTTCCAGTAATTCACCAGAATGACGAACAGAGCGGGAAAGAGGAGAGGCCCCCGATACACGTCTCCAGGCCCTTTACAAAACTTGCAGTGGGTCCTCTGGTAACACACGTGTGAATCTACAAGAAAGGCGGTATTGTAGACATCACGGGTATGGATCCTATGCACAAAGGAATGTCCGTAAATGTTACCATGAAACACTGGAGGAGTCCACAGTGTTCCTGGGCATGCTGTCGGCATTGTTGTAAACAAACAAGGGACCCCGGATGGTGTAAATGGTTACATCACTGGACTCCCACATAGTGGACCGTGGTTCAAGTTCCAGACCCGGCAGCTTAAAACTCATGCTGGGCATGTGTGCATGCATGCCCAAAATCCTCAGAGGAGAACGGAGGAGAAGAGATTGTGGCATGGCCATCCCCACTGGGGGGGTGGGGGGGATTTGTCGCTTTCTATCTCTCTGTCTCTCTGGCGAGCGCATGTGCCCTATAGCAAAACTCTAAGGAAAGAAAATTATTACTCCCTTCTCCCAGGAAGCAGACACCCTGGGAAGGTGGGTCATGTCAGAATGTTGTCTGGTGTGCGTGGATCTTTCAACTGCGTAGTGGTAGTAAGACACGCTCCCACCTCAAGAGGGTCTGATGCAGCACTGTGCCCATTGCAGTCCATTGGGTTAGGCCCTCTCCCTCTGCAGCTTTTTTAAAAAAAAAAAAAAAAAAGAATTCTTTTAATTAATTAATTAATTTTAGGAAATTTCAACTGTGAAGAAGAACAGTAATTTCTCTAAACAAGCCTCCAGGTCCAGGACTCGAACTGCCCTTAACCACCACGCCACCTGCCGCCCCCCCTCTGCAGCTATTGAGTGCGCTTGGCCTCTGGCTCTCCTGTGCATCATCTGGGCCCCCTTCCAATGATGTGATCTCCGAAAATTCAAAGGCATTTCATTTAGTGGTGGACTAGATGAACTGATTGAGGGGCCATTCTACACCTTCAAGGTAATCTTATAAAACTTCCGATTGTTCACAAGTAGAGTTAAAGCTCGGAGGGTGGCATGATTTCTTTTCTTCCCCAAGTCTCTGGGGGATACCCAATCTGCATGTGGCTCTATCAAAGTAATCCTGAGAGAGATGTCTCTCTCTCTCTCTTTTTTTTTTTTTTTTTTTTTTTCTGTTTTGGAGAGGTTTTTGCTATAGGGCGCGTGCACTTGCCAGAAAGACAGAGACAGAGAGACGGAAAGCGAGAAATCACCCCCCCAGGGGGGATGGCCATGCTACAATCCCTTCTCCTCCATTCTCCTCTTGGGATCTTGGGCACGCACATGCGCCCAGCATGAGTTTAAGCCACCAGGCCCGGGACTCGAACTGCGGTCGACTACATGGGAGTCCAGTGACGTAGCCATTACACCATCTGCTGGTCTCGAGGGAGATGTCTTGATTCACAGCCACATATGTAGCGTGGATCTCCTAGTTCCATTCTGGAGAACATTCAGAATCCAGAATGCCTTTACTCACTCTTTCTTGTTGAATTACTAGTGGGCATGTGCACTCGCTAGAACATGACAGAATGGCACCTGGTCACGCTGCAGTCCCTTTTCCTCCATTTCTACATCCCATCTGGATTTGGAGCACACATGCATACACACCCTCGGGCTGGGGCTGGGATCCGAATCAGGGTAGTCCACAGAGGACCCAGCTCCCTAAGCATAGCATTCAACTGCTACGCTACAAGGCTGGCCCTTTTAACTCTTTTTTTTCCTTTCAAAATCCCTCTTTTTTCTTTGCATCTATGAGACAAAGTTTCTCTAAGGAGTAATCACCATTTGCAAAAGGTTCACTTGGGATTATTGTATATGTCAACCGATGGCTGAATGCCTTAAATGTCTAGTTCCTTTCCTTAAATGTAAACACATCACCAAAATACTGCTTCTATTCTCCACCACCACAGTGTCCTGGCCATGGAAATTAGCTGAAAGCACTCCTTGAGGATTGGGAAAGGCTGAACCACTTGTAGTTTTAAAGTCTCTAGATACAATAATGATAAAAAGAGTAAGGCCAGCAGGTAGCGTGGTGGTTAAGATGCTGGATTCTCACGTGGCCGACTGTGGTTTGAGTACTGGGCCTGGCAGCCTGAAAAATCACAACAAACAAATAAATAAATAATTTGTTTAAGAGAGGTGGTAGTGCCCAAAATAGAGTTCAAATATTGTGGAATATGTTTTTTTTTTTTTTGAAAGGTTTTTGCTATAGGGCACGTGCGCTCACCAGACAGACAGAGAGAGAGACAGAGAGATAGAAAGCAAGAAATCAACCCCCAGGGGGAATGGTCACACCGCAATCCCTTCTCCTCTGTTCTCCTCTTGGGATCTTGGGTACACACGCACACGTGAGAGTTTTAAGCCACCGGGTCCGGGATGCGAACCGCAGTCAACTACATGGGAGTCCAGCGACATAGCCATTACGCTAACTGCTGGTCCCTGGAATATGGTATTTTTAAAATGTCACAAATAGGGACCAACAGGTGGCACGGTGATTAGTGCGCTTGACTCCCACATGACTGTCCACGTTTGAGTCCAGAATCCGGTGACTTGTTTTCTCACTTTCCTTTTTTCTGTCTGTCTTTGGTCAAATTAAATAAAAATAGTAAATAAAATAATTCTTGGGATCAGCAAATGGCATAATGGTTATGCTGCTGCACTCCCACATGGCTGACCGCGGTTCAGGTCCTGGACCCTGAGGTTTGTAACTCACGCCAGGTGTGTGCGCAAAATCTCAAGAGGAGAATGGAGAAGGGGTTGCCATGTGTCCACCCCCCCCACACACACACCTCACTGGGGAGGGATGATTTCTCTCTTTTTGTATCTTGCTCTCTAGTGAGTGCATGTGCCCTATAACAAAAAAAACTGCCTAAAATTAAAATGATTATTTAAAAAATAAAAATGTCACAAAAAAATTGATGTACACACGGCCCCTCAGTTGTGCTGTTCACGAGATAATTACAAGATGCATAAAGTAATGATCTACAGCACACTGCAGTAGTGCTCCCAGGTACGGGACACCGGCGGCAGAGGAGCGTATCCGTGACTGTGTGCAGAGCTAAGTCCGACGTCTGACATTTCCTGAATGCGAACCTTGACCCACGCCATACTGGTGCCTCTCCCACCAACGTGCTTCATTGGTGCTGCGCATTTATAGGCCGGATGGAAATCAGCCTCACTGATTGAGGGCCTTAGAATACTGTGGGTCTCTGCGTCTCCTCCAGCAGGACTCGGGGACAAGGCCACGTGTGTAGTCTGTGCCGGAGAAGGGACTGTCAGTAAACCCAGCGGAGACCTGGCTCTGTGAGAGCGGCGCCCTAACCAGACCGGAAGCTAGCTCAGAATCCCAAGCTCCAGGGAAGAGCACTCGAGAGCCCTTGACCTTGACAAAGGGAACAGGGTCAGAATTCTGCCTCCTGTCTCAGCCAACCCGGTCCTCTCCGCCCCTGATGCCCTAGGAAGATACTGGAGAGCTGTGTGTCCCCTCGGCAACCGGAGGACGCGCAGGGAGGGGGCTCCAGACTGGGCGGGGCTAGGGGAGGCACAGGGGCGGGGCTGTACCGGCGTAGGCGGGGTTCGGGGGTGGGGCTGCATGGCAATGGGCGGGGCGAGGCC